AAAATACAAAAAAAAAAAGTTTCTCTATAAGCCAATCCAGTTTCAGTTGACAAGAATTTTGATTCCAATATACTCAGTTTTGCAAATTCAGAAGCATCAATACAGCCTTCTACGTTCCCGAGACATAGCTCCACACTTGCAGTTTTATTGACTTGTGTTATCTTGATTCAGCAGTGTAAAGACTTCGATAAGTGATTCCATCATACTCCTCACAATCTAAAAATGGTTAAAAAGAAGGCAAAAAACATCCGTAATAAATGAACAACATGCGCTACAATAACCTCCCTAATATTTTTTAACTAAAAGGTATTAATAAATATAGAAAATATCGTTATTGAGATCATAAGATCGCTAAAGAAAAATTGCGTGACTAAAATCAGTGTTTGACATGCGAATTCGTATTATGAGCACAATAAGTGAAAACTAGTGAGTAGTTGAGAAATGGACAAGGTGAGCAGTAACCAAAATAGCTACATACAGCAAAAATCAAAAAACGAAGAAAGCACAAAGAAAGAAATTTATTTTAATCGAAATTTCATAAAAGTTTTCAATTGCAAGTCATATTCAGAATCAAAAATATTTTTTGGATATCTATAGTAGGCGTCTTTCGACCTATCGCTGTCCACTAAGGAAAACTCCCAATTGCATTTAGTAAAGGCTCTAGAAGTGAAAATATTTTTGCAAGTTGCTGACCTGTTCAAACTCATTTATTTCCCCAAGCAAGATACCACCTATTTCAATAAACGCCTAACATTTTTTTAAAAATTCGTGTAATTAGTTCAAGTTTTTTTAATTTAAAATGCTGCTTTTTCTCTTTTTCAGCATTAAAAGCACCATTGACCGTAATTTTGGTAAAAACACCATAACTTATATTGGATGGAACCTATCTTTGAGAATAGCAAAATTATAAGAGGTCACGAAAGCAAAATAAGAACTCAAGGAAAGGTAAAATACGGCATAAAATAAAAAAGCCGCACTGTATGCACTAAAAACTTATAGACTGAGAAAATCCAACAAAAGACAGAGGTTTTATTCAAGAAAATGCAATTGTGTCGAACCTTCGACATACTTTGTACTTCTAGTTTGCGAAATAACCTATTTAAATTGCAAAACTTGTGCCAGAACAATAAATGCAAATGCTAGTAATGTTTCTAATACAGTCCAGCAAAAAAAAAATTGAGTACTTTTTCAGAAAAAAGTACGGTGAATCAAAAAAAATTCAAAAAATTACGGTAAACCTAAAAGTTCGATTTCAAGTACTTTTTCAAACACTTGTAATGTCTTCAAGCGGCTACACTTTTAGCACAGTCTGTGTTGCTCCAGTTTTCATAATTTCCTAATCTTCAGATTATTGTAAAATACGTCCAATAAAACAGATAAACGTAAAAATGATAAGCAGTACCATCCTTTTTGGTCTTTTGAGTAAGTTTTTACAAAAGCCAAAAATGCGGCTTCTGTATTCCATTCCTGGATCATGTGACAAAAGCTTCTCATTCATCTGAATTAAGAGAACTGTTTACTTGATTAATAAAGCTGGCAGCTTTTCATTAACTCTTTTCCAAGTAAATTCATTTTTTGCACGTTCTAACCCCTTACCAAAACCACTTTTATAATTAAGTTTCAATTTAAAAAAATTAATAATACCCCATCCTACTATACAAGCAGCCATAACCGTTGACTAAAATAATTTTTGCAAAAAGAAAGCTACTGGTTATGTTTTAAAGAAGTGCTCGTTACAAGTGAAACCAGGAAAATCAAGAAGAATTAGCAAAAAGAACTTCCAGTCATTCTTAGCAACAAGACAAAAATCAAACTTATGAGACAGTACAGCTAAGACTGCGCGATCACGACAAAGACATTTTACCATAAGTTACATATAAGAAATCTCTATAAAAGGATAAAAAATTTATAAACATTTATCGACAAACCCCAAAAAAAGAATGATTTATACATGGAATGAAACTGGATTGAATATTTATTAAAATGAACAAATTTTTGCTAAACAGACAAAAAAGGAAAAAGTTGTAGAACTCGCCTGCTGTAATAACTCCCGTATATCATCTGAACTATCAAAATTCTAGCTAATATTAAAATGTAGATTTATTCAAAATTGCTCCTTTCTTTTTACAAAAAACCCAAGTTATTAAGCTCTGAAACCAACTTCCAGCCGTCCCAACAGAAATTTAGCGAAAATTCAAGTACTCATTCGAAAGAAAATGCATGTTTGTAGTGGCAGTACGTGAACGCATAAGTGATTTAAACTGTAACAAGTTCATTCTCAAAAATTTCCGCTTCCCAAAAAAGGGTAACATCAGAGAAGCCAAAAAAGACTACTAGCAAAACCAAACAAACAATTCTTTCCAGTTCGAAAAATAAGCGTTTCTTTCACAGACGGGAAGAAATAAAGCAAGATTCTATTCACAATATTAGACTATTAAACGCCTTTTCTTGCAGTAAAAAAAGAATCTGCTACAGATGAATAGAAGCCAAGCGGTGCACACCTACTTCAAACGACGTCACTAAAGTAGGAAATACTATTATGGAAAAATAGTATACATCAAAAATTATAAAACAAAAAAAAGTGCCGTCTAAAAAAGTTTTTTCTTTACAGCTACAAAGAGCTAAACGGAACAAATAAAAACGCTTAATCAGGATGCTCTATATGCTAGCGATTTCTAGTTTGGTTCAGATTCGAAAAGTTAAGGTCGACCATTTCTTGGCGTTAATAATGCCACAACCAGACACTCGAAAGTTACTATGAAACGCAAGGGTACTATAGAAGAAAAACTCAAACACTGCCTCCGACTGGTTGCCCTCTATCTGTCTTAAAAAATATCAGCCGGTATCTTTCACCTTTATACGCTCCAGATTTCTAGGTTTTTCTTTCGTTGAAAATTTAACAGGACACAATCATAGAACAATAGGTCATAGAACAACACCTTTTCGAAGCAACAGGTTATAATTGATAAAAGTCTTTGCTCTGCTTTTATTTCCTCATTTCACCCCAAGTGCATAAAACTTTATTGCAGCCTACATTTAAAAATTGCAAATAACAACCAGTTTCTGGAAGTGTACCAATGTGAAACGTCGATTAACAGCATGAACTGTTAAGCAGAAGTCAATTGAAAGGTATACTAGGCACGGCTAAGAACCTACAGAAGTATTATATACAAAAAGTTTCCTTGACCACCATATGAACTAGCAGTATACAGAATCAGAACTGCTTATGCAATGAAAATAAATAAGCTGCAAATTAAATGAAGACAAAAGGATAGAGATACTAATCTTTAAACATCGTAAAATATGTGTGAAAAATTTAAAATAGTATTTTAGGAGGGGATTGAAAAATCCACTGCCCGCAGGACTGCCAATTTTCTATCATAGCAGGTCCCGAATTAAAGAAATATCTAATTTCTTATTCCAAAAATTTTTGTAGCACTTCAACGTTTTTCGCACATTTATGGTCAGTCAAAAAGTCGATTTAAATATAGCTACAGTGCTTCGTGCGAGAAAGGTTAGTTACTGTACGAAGCAATCAAAAAAAGCACTAAAATTCTGTTCAAAGATCATACCTGAATATAGATCTGAACCCTATTTAATAGTAAAAATTGAATTTGCAGAATTTAACGTTTGGTTATCACAAAATCTAAAGTTTGATTACTAAACCGCATTTCGTCAGCTCGGAGCTACATCAAACGCGCTTAAGTGTGGCAATTCGTAGTTTAACATTGGATGCTTCAAAAAAGACAGTGAGGAGATATTCCTAGAACTGGTAGGAGTGAACAGAGCGGGGCCGGAAGAGTCACATGCAAAAAAACGAAGTTAGGTTACTAAACAAAAACACTTATTTAAGGGAGAGAAGCAATATAAATCGTAATAGCGCTAACCAACTGATCAAATCAATTTTTTATTACCAGTAGTGATTCATTTATAGATTGTAGGCGGCAGCTCACTAAGAACCACAGTAAGTCAAGGTTTGTTCCTTCTGAAACGTTTGAAAATAAAAAAAAAAGTAAAACTGCAATTAATAAGTAAAAATTCAAAACGTTAGATATCCAAAGAAAGAAAGTACGATGTTTCTCCGAAAAATAAGACTCTTTAGACCGCAAAACAGTCTAGAAATGCAAACCAAGAGCCAAGTTAAAACCATCAACAATTTTCCTCCTGTCCCAACCTAAATTTGCTGTAATCAGACGCCGAACTACCACAGGTATGCAGGAACGCCCTTGTCGCATCTCAAGACAACTACTTCCTCTTCCCAGCAAGACCGTACTTTGAAAGGAAAAAAACGCAAACACTGGTACCAAGTTGCACAACCTCAACGCCCAAAAATGCTGCAGCTCAGAATAAAAAGAAAAGACCGTATGAAAAATCTGTTCATAATTCAGACGAGCAATACCATCAACAAAAAACTTCTGACCACAAATGATTGTTTCAAAATATTTATTTATGATGAAGTGATGAGAACAACAATCGAAATACTTACGAATACACAGAAACAAGTACCGCACTGCGTGACTATCACATCATCTACCGCTGCTCAAAAAAATTTTGAACAATTTCAATAAGTAAAAATGCACGGCATATCAAAAAAGAAAAAATGAATTAAATTGTCAACCTGAATAATGTCAACAATAAGTGTAAAAACCTCGCCATCATCTAATCTAAGCATATAGACCAAGTGCAACTAGATAGGTCATCCTGTGGCGAAAGGCTACCTAAATCAGCGAGAAAATTTCATGGGGAAAAATTAAAGTGTCAATGCGACCTTTTGCCAGTTGTAAACACCAAATAAATAAGCGTAACCTATCAACGAACAATAAATATTGATTTTTAGGAGTCAAAAAATAAAAAGTCAAAACAGTAAAAACTTCAACAAACACAAAATATAGCGAGAGAACACATAAGGAATATAAATAAGCTACACATGAAAACTCCTCAAAAAAATCAGACAAGTAATGTTGGAAATGCAAATATAAATGAGAGGAAAAAACACCAAGCTACGAATCCATTGGCTGTGTTCCTGAACCTTTCTTCATATACTCTTCAAGTTCTTTGTCTAACTCGGCATCGGTCATTTTCTTCCGCTTGTCATCTCTCCTTCGTCCCTTCAATCGCATACGATTTGAACCACCAAGCCTCCCAGATCGAAATGTGCGCTGAAAAGTACCTTATAAAGCTGATCAAAAAGCTTCTAAAGAATAATAAACGAACAGTACAAAATGCAGCTAATAACTACCTATCAGATGCAGCCCACAAAAAAAAGACATTCTGAACAAAAACTATGCAAGTGTAAGGGAAAGGCAGAAAAGTTGGCAATCAAAAACAACTTACTATATCTTTACGCTTCACGATCCCCCTACTTACGCGAACAGGACGCTTCACCAAAGAAAGACGATCTCTTATGCTTTTTACTGGGGCATCCTCAGCAGACTCATCTATTATAAACATCCGCATAGTTTGGCCTGAAATTGATTCATATCGGTAAAGCAACGTGCTCGCTAACTAACTACAGACTTGAGTATCATGTTCTAAAAAAGCATTTGACCTGCAAGCTTCAGGCCAGTGTAACATCACGTTATCTTTGATAAACAGTCACTATAAACTTATTGAAACCCTTTGTTACAAGTTAAAATACATTAACAACGATCTTCGCAGTGGCAAAAAGTTTAAAAAAGTAACCAGCTGTTAACGGAACACGCCATTGGTAAATTCTGAGTGAAACCTAACAACAAAAAGCTGAAGAAAAAACTTACTAAATAAAGTAAAAATAAAAGCAGAGGCAGAGTGTTTAGAACTGGGTTTTTCAGGAGAAACTAAAAATTAAACTTCAAAATCAAAATGCTTGATTCGTAAAAAAAATCACAAATTAGAACAACAACTAAAGGTACGATGCACAAGTCATATAACACACTGAAATAGCGTCTGCTGAAAAAATTTAGTAAAAATCCCATAATTTCTGAATGCAATATGCTCCTCTGACCTACTGCAAAAAACTACACTTTTCAAGAGCAGAATCTTTCAACAAATAAGGAATGTAAACAACAGTCAAGAAATACTCAAAGAACTGCTCTGAGAAAGATGCAAAAAAAAATTTACGAAACAAAGGTTTAGAAGTTAAAACTAGACATATCAGTAATCAAAAGTAATGTGAATGTGAGAAGCGTTACAGCTACACTACATATTAAAATTACTCCCCTTAACAACTTCCCAATACCTTCCCACAAAATAATAACGATAAGTGCTTCAAGAGGAAGCCGTTTCTAAGCACATAAACTAAAAAATACTACCAAAAACAATTAAAAGGTAAGGTTGCAGAACTTCGACTGAAACAAAGTTTCAATTTACCAACTCAACCGTTATCCCTTCCCTGTCCAAGAAAACCAGCAAAAATATTAAAGGTTAACAAGACGTTATTTTATCTTCACTTCCTCTTCTCTACCGGTCGTCATTCTTCTGATGATTACCACACTGAATTTTGAGTACTTCATCTTAAATTCCAGAAAATCGCAAAACAATGCGAGGATACTTACCATCTAAAGCAACACCGGCAAAATTGCTTTTAATCTCCTCAGCAGAAGCGGCATCAGTGACAACATCAGCAGTGCCAACCGACTGGCCCAACTCATCATAATTAACTGTAGCAGACTCAACGGAGAAGCTCTCTAGTAACTCCTTAAAACTTCAAAATCATTTTTTTGTAAGAGAATCCTTCAGCTCTTTTTATATGTTAGATAAACTGAGCTCAAAGAATTTTATAAAAAAAAAATGTAGACGGCACAAGAACGAACATTTAAATCAGCAGTGTTGACGGTAGGCGCGAGGTTGGTAATGTGCAACTTCACTTTACGGTTCAGCATTGATCTTCCAAAAAGTTTTCCTCCAGCCCTTATAGCTGGAGCTTTTTCTTGGCGTATTGTCCCACCACCGTATAACTCTTCAAAACCATCATGTCCCCATTTGCCTTCAGGAACACTCTAAACGAAGGAGAAAAATTATAAAAAGCTACCAACCAAGCCAAAATTATAGCCAAATCTATTAGCAAAAAGCTGTACATCACATAGCTCGCAAGATTGCCTGAATTTCAAAACTTTCGAAACTGCGGTATAACCATTGTCTCAAATAAAGCATTAATAAGAACTAGAAAAGGTAATCATGGAAACCAAATAAACGAAAAATAATACACTGGAAAACAACTCAAACACTAATCTCATGAAAAACTTCTTTCAGTTTAAAGCTGCTCGTTTCATGACAAACTAAATAACCTTTACGAACCTCTAAAGTCCGTACTATTCAGCAATTCTTACAGAAGCCATCTTATAAAGTAAACTCCAACCATAAAACCAGTAAAAAAAAAAAAAATAAAATAACAGAACTCACCTTTGACTTAGTGAATAATGTGTCACTAGACTCATACTTTCTGGTAAAACCTCGTCCACGTTGTTTCACTAATTTACTACTGGCTAGTTCAAGATTCCCGCCCTTTTTTTTCTGCAAAAATTTTACTCTGATTTAGTACGTCGAGACAGCTGGACAATAAACATTCTGTAAATCGTATTTTGTATAAACAACTAGAGGCTCAAAGAACAAACATTTGAAAAGTGAAGATAAAACACACCTGAACCTTTTTCTGTCTAGCAATTATATCATCCAACGAAAGATCCGCAAGATTCATTTCCGAAATAACCAATGGCTAAAATTCCTATTCAAGTGAAAAAAAACCATAAAATGAAAATATCACGAAAGTCGTCACTTCAAATCCAAAAATATTTGGTAATTCCATAAACGAAACTTCGATCAAACGGTGATCGAAAGGCACAAGTGAAAGGAATTGATTCCACGATTAAAACGAATTCTTTCATAACATCTCTGCTGCTCTCCTTTCTATCGTCTTTCAAAAACTAACAATTCATGCATATGCAAAGCTTAGTCGTTGTAGCAGTGTGACCGGATGTCCCAGACACTTGAGCTAAAAGAATTTTCTGATTACAAATCACATTCACATTCATATTTCCACTGACGTACACCTGGATACATAGCACTACATGTTATATCAATCAGTAACTGAGAAAGGAAAGCATCAAAATCAGAAGTCGAAAGTGAATGTTGAAAGGAACTTGAATTCTAGCGCGTTACAATGTCGCCAAATCGTCTCAGAGTTGCTTCCTACAAAGCAGCACTATATTATCGTTGTCCGAGCAACAAATTATATCTGATATGTATAAAATGTATATACCTGTGTGTGTAGAAAGTGTACGTAAATTTGAGTGCGACTTGTAATTGAAAACTTCTTTAACCTGAGTGTCCTGAACATCCGCTCACATCGCTGCAACGACAAAACTTTGCAGATGCCTGAATTGTTTGTTTTTGAAAGATAATAGAAACGACAGCGACAAAGATGTATGATATGCAAGAATTCGTTTTAATCATACAGTCAATTTGTTCCATTTGTACCATTCAATCACCATTCGACCAAAATTTTGTTTATGGATTTATCAAGTATTTTCAAATCTGAAATGGCATCCGTCGTAATATTTTCACCTTATGATTTTCTTTATTTCCTTTACGTGGATGGTGGTTAATTATATACAAGTAATAAATGAATAAATGAGAAAAACAATGCAGACTTATAATCAGAAAAGAGTGCCAGAGGAAGGTCGTTTGTCAAAAGTTCAGCTACGTTATAGAAGAAATAAAATTTTTATAGCGAATTCACTTTTGGAGACATCTTTATATTGGCGAAAATCACTTGTCTATTAACATCTATTATCTCAATTTTTTATGGTTATACATTGAGAATAACAAGTTGCTCTTCAAAGTCCTTCGTTCCGCCTCCCAATTAGCTGTGAAACTGCTGGGTTACTTTACTGAGGAGGTCTGGACGGTAATAGGAGGTTTACCTAATTTCACACTTTTGAAGAACCATTCAAAATAACACGTTTCTGAAAAAAACTCATAATACATGTTTCATATTACACTGTCTATACAGCTGCACTTCTAGTATTTGGTTGATGTTCTATAAGATAAATATTGAATACCATTTTTAGTTACTGGCAGAAAACGTAAGCTCCTGACGAACTGACTTAATCTGCTTCGAGGGTGTTGCCGATAGACAAATCTTCAAGAGTGAATACGCCATTAAACCTGTATAACCAGTTATTTCACAAATTTTTTTTTTGTTCTTGAAACAAAATGTAATAGATCATAATAATTGTGTTGTTCTACGAAAGACCATGAGGCTTACTCATAACTTCAACTACTTATGGATAACTACGGAGGATGTGCATAATTTATCCGGATTTCCTCAGACTTTCCTATTTTCGGCAAAACCTAATTCTTTGCTCATTTCATCTGAACCCTCTTCAGGAGACCAGTCAATTATTGCTTTTTGGAAAAGGTTTTAGGCAAAAGATGAAGAGAAAATTTGCAGCGTGATTACATTCAGTGAATGTAGATGATCAGAAGTAGTGTAATATAAAAGATGGGCGCTGCAATTATGCTTAAAGACTGAACATGAGTGCTTCAAACTCTCCCTTCAAACTTCCTGATAGGTGTGGTTGTCCTGAGAATAAATTACAGCTACCGTATTACCTTCTCTGAAGTCTTAGGCTTTTTCAAAAAGTACTGACTTTTGTTTTATAAATTTTGCTTTTTGTTGGCGTCTTTCTCAAAATCTGAAACAGCCAAGGAAAAATAAAGAGAACTAAGCCATGGTAAAATTGCGTTTTTTTAATTCTGAAAGAATATCCATCTTTGCTTAAATTCTCCCAGATGTGCAGTTTTTTGACCCACAGGTGAAATTAGCACAGTTTGAACACACAAAAAAAGCATATACTGCAGAAATAAATTTTGAAACTTCTATACTTATATTTCTTCGAACTTTTTTCGTTGAAATGCTCCTTTGCCAAACAGACAATTTTCGCCACCAATACAATGTCCGCCTTTCCGATGAGGGTTGCTTTTGTCCACGTACAAAAGCACGCATAATGAGAGTAAGCGTAAGAAGCTTCATCCATCAGTCACATCTGGACTGAAAATCTGATTATGCAAAACAACGAGCTTGCTATACAACTGAGTCTGATGAGAAACAGGAATAGATGCTTTAATTCTGCAGAAGGCACGGTTAAATTAGGGCCTTCGTAGACAAAGGAACTGGCGCCAGCTAACTGGCTTAAAAACGAGCAAAGCATGCTACATAGCTTTTTGAAAGTCGCTTGTGCACGAATAACTCGACTGTCGAGCGTTTAGTTTTCCATTCTCTCCTTATCGAGCGGTTTTTGCACACTGTATCGCTACAGCTGTTTCTGTTTTGGTACGTATCCGGAAGTCAGTATTTTGTCAATGTTTTTTTTTTT